CAGCGAATATCAAACCCAGGAGCCCTCCTAGAAGCTGCCACGCCCAGATTCCAACACATCCTCAAACCGCCCCACTGAAACACACACACACACACATATTTTTCTCATCTCAGAAATCCCAAAGATCCGAATGACACCACAAGGTGTGCTATTAGGGGTGCGAGTCCCTTGTGTGTTCGTTAGGGGTGTTGGGAATTCTGCGGTGACAAGTGAGGAAACTAGCGTTTTCATTTGGATTGTTGGTACCGCTGGTATTCTGGGAATCGGAGCTCGTAGGGGAGCTCCTGGGTCTGATTTTCGTTAGACGGACGATCACCCCAACAGTATTTGAACCATCCACGTGACAACACATGGTTTCCTCACTTCTCATCCCAGAACCCCCCAACATCAGAATGAAATCACATGGCGTCCGCACCCCTGACATCGCAAACATCGTGTTGTCACTGGGATGTTTGTAGTAAGACTTTCAACATTGAGTGACAAGACTCCCCCCAAACAAGCTTGCGATCGGGTTCTAGACGATTTTGCCCAAAATCCAACGTTTTCAAACTTCGCACACCTTGCAACCAAGCGGGCCTTTTGCGCACGCGTGCCGAAATCGTTCGAACGCCTTTGCGCGCGTGCTGTCGCAAGAAACCCCCGGCAACAAATGGGACGAAGTGCGCGCGCTCGCGTCGTCGCGCGCGCATGCCACAATCTTTCAACAACCTCACGTGTCGTAAGGAATTCAGAATCGAGTGTCCCGAAAACGTATAACAACACATGTTTTGACAACATCAGTTTTCAAAAATGCCCGCGCTCGCGTTCCCGCGAAGTCTTGGGTGAACCATTGGCTTCATGTTCGCGAAATTCGGCCAAACAGGCTCAGGGCGCCGCGCGTAGAAATCAATCGAACGCCCTTGCGCGCGTGCTGGGGGGGGGGGGGGGGGCACGACCCGTGTCACACAAAACCATGCGGGCCACTCTCGCGCGTCGGGCGCGCGCGCATGTCGAACTCCTCCAATAACCTTCATCACCTACGCGAAGACGCCGTCATCGTCGTCGGCGTGATCAGCGTGATCAGCATCGGCGCCGTCATTGGCCTTGCCGTCGTCGTTGTCACCATCGTCGCCACCATCGTCATCGCGTGAACCGTTGTCGACGTTGCCATGATACCGCATCCGCCCAAGTCGCCGAGTCGCACTGAAATGCCCCCTGGGAAATGCCCGGCGGTCAGAGCCGCCGCGGCCGCGTCGGTCGCGCCAACCTAGCTGGCCGCTGCGCGCGCGAGCATACGCAGGCGAGCGGGCCCGCAAAGATGCACCAGCCAACTCCAAATACTCATCGCAATCGCCGCTGCATGGGTTTTGCAAACCAAGTTGCGGGTAGGTAGGTGGGATGACTCCGCGAGCACTGGAGTGGACAACGCACTGCGAATAGAAATTAATTCTCCTATTCAAAAAATTATACCACCACCCCCCGGACTTAAAGACCCCACAGGAAACGATGTAAAACACCTAAAACTCTGACCCAATGTCCATCCTACCTGTGAATTCAAACTATCACAGCCAAACCGGTATCGGTTCCCCTCGCCATCCTCTGCAACAAATACTATGACTATGCGCACACACTCGATTATCACTAATCACAAGATTTCAAAATCCCTCGCAACAAAATGAGACGAAGTGCACATGCGCGGGTCGTCGCGCGCATGTCGAAATCCTTCTTACATATATATTATATATATATACATACATACAACCTTCGTATTCGGAAAGATTTCAACACCAAATTCCCCAAACACGTAAAACACACATGGTTTCGCAACCGTGGGTTTCTAAAGAAGCTTACGCGCGCGCTCTTGCGACATCTTAAGAAAACCATGGATGTCTCAAGATTTGCAAAACAAATACTACCAAATGGGCTTCGCGCGCGCATGTCGAAATCTTTCGAGCGCCCTTGCGCGCGTGCCGTCGCGAGAACCCTCTGCAAAAACAATGGCGACGTGCGCACGCGCGCGTCGTCTCGCGCAAATGCCGAAATCCTTCAAAACCCTTCAGTTTCGGACGGATTTCAAAACCGAACTTCAAAAAAACATACAAATAGACAGGGCTCGCAACACGGAGTTTCAGCAAAAGCGTGCGCGCGCGCTCTTGCGTCGTCGTCGTCGTCGCCGTCCTCCCTCCTCCCTCCTCCTTCGTCGTTGTCATCGCCGTCGTCGTCCTCTGTTTTTCCTCGTCGTCGTCGTCTTGGCGTCGTCGTCGTTTCCGTCGTCGTTGTCGCCGTGGTCGTCCTTCCTCCCTCGTCGTCAACGTCGGCGTTTCGTCCTTGTTCCTCCTATTTCGTCGCCGTCGTCGTCGTCGTCGTCGTCGTCGTCGTCTTCCCTCCTCCCTCGTCGCTGTCGTCGTCGGCGTCGCCGTCCTCCCTCCTTCTTCGTCGTTCGCATCGTCACCGTACTCCCTCCTCCCTCATCGTTGTCGTCGTTGTCGCCGTCGTCGTCTTCCCTCCTCCCTCGTCGTCGTCGTCGTCTTCGTTGGCGACGTCGTCGTCATCTTCGTCGTCGTCGTCGTCGGCGTCGTCGGCGTCGTCGTCGTCGGCGACGTCGTCGTCGGCGTTGTCATCGTCGTCGTCGTCGGCGGCGGCGTCGGCGTCGGCGTCGGCGTCGTCGTCGTCGGTGTCGTCGTCGTCGTTGTCATCATTGTCGTCGTCGTCGAAGTCGTTGGAGTCGCCGTCGGTGTCGTCGTAAATATATGTACTAATGTATATATGTATATATACGACGAGAATCAATATATATATACGTATGTATATATATATATTAATACGACGGCGATCAGTATAATATATGTATATATGTATATACATTAAGAGAAGTATTACTAGTAGTACTCGTAGTAGT